GTTCGAAAGTATTTTCTCTTCAATTTTTCAAGAAGAGTTTGTGAACAATTGGCATTAAATCTTTTTTGAACATTTGATAGAATTCACCAGTGAAACCATCTGATTTGGGGCTTTTCTCTTTGTGGGAAGCTTTTGATTACTAATTCAATCTTTTTGCTTGTTATGCATCTGTTCAGGCTTTCATTTCTTCTTGGGTTAGTGTCAGTAGTTTGTTTCTCTCTAGGAATTTGTCTGTTTCATCAAGGTTATCTAATTTGTTGGTTTATAGTTGTTTGTAGTATTCCCTTACACAGTAATCTTTTTTACTCCTGTGAGGTCTGTGGTGATGTCCCATCCAACATGTCTGATTTTGTAATTGGAATCTTCTCTCTCTCTCTCTCTCTCTCTCTCTCTCTCTCTTTTTTTTTTTTTGAGACAGAGTCTCACTCTTTTGCCCAGGCTAGAGTGAGTGCCATGGCGTCGGCCTAGCTCACAGCAACCTCAAACTCCTGGGCTCAAGCGATCCTCCTGCCTCAGCCTCCCGGTAGCTGGGACTACAGGCATGCACCACCATGCCCGGCTAATTTTTTCTATATATTTTTAGTTGTCCAATTAATTTCTTTCTAATTTTAGTAGAGACGGGGTCTCGCTCTTGCTCAGGCTGGTTTCGAACTCCTGAGCTCAAACAATCCGCCCGCCTCGGCTTCCCAGAGAGCTAAGATTACAGGCGTGAGCCACCGCGCCCAGCCTCTCTCTCTTTTTCTTAGTCACTTTGGCTCAAGGTTTACCAGTTCCGTTCAGCCTAAATCCAAGTTTTTTATCTTAGCATTTTATGGTTCTCGCTGCCCTTGTGACTGACTTCATTTACCTCCACATACCTGTTGCCTATTGGCTTAGAGAAACATAAAACTTGAGGCTTTTGCTCATTCTCAAATTTGAGAATGCCCTTCTAGCTCATTTCATCATCTGTAAAATTGGGGATTCAGTGAGATCTGCCGTGCAGTGTCAAGCTGAAAGTGCTGGGCAGTGACTGGGTTCTCTCGCTAGCCAAATGATTTCCTCCTGGAAACCATCCTCATAAAATATGAGCTCAAGATTAGAGCCCCAGAGAATTCCTGCACACTTGTCAGGAGCACCTCACCCCAGGACCTAGCACACAGTGAGTTCTCAGATACTGCCTGTAAATGCACGAGAAACAGCTCATGGGACAGCTTCATTTTTTTCTATAAGCCCATGAAAGTTAATTCAGTTAGTTATGAGAACAAAAGTACTCTTTCCTTAAAATTAAGGTCTTTTTCTTTCTGTATTTCACAAGCAGTAGGTGATTATTCCGTGGGGAAGAAATCAAAACTAAACACAGAAACCAGAGTACCTACAATCCTGTCAGTCCAGAGATGAGTGCTGTTGGCCCTTGGCTTGGGAGGTGTAAGGAAAAGTCACTTTAGAATGTTATCTGGATTCTCCCACCCAGACCTCTGGGAAGGGTAGCTCTTCCTCTTTTATTTGGGTACACATTGCCCAGAAACAAAGAACACTCACAGTCTTGAGTGTTGGTTTCCCACCCTGCTGAACACTGGAATCCTTTGGGGGGCTTTTTAAAAACATAGATTCCCAGACATCACCTCAGACCCACTGAATCAGAATCTCTGAGGTAGGGCCAAGGCAGCCAGGATATGGAGCAGCCTGCCAGGTGGTTCTGACCACAGCCAGCAAGGGGGACCTGTGTGCATTGTCTGTGTACCCCAGTCAGGGGGTGGGAGGTTGACTGTACGGTGACACGCAGATACCTAGTCCCAACCTGGCCGAGGGACGGAAACCGTGTCTCCAGCTGGAGACATCTGAACTCCCAGGGACATTCCTCCCTTTGCCAGGCTGTATAGAACCCTGCAGTGTTCCTGGTCTGGGTCTGAGTCTCAAGGCTGGCTGATTCTAAGCAAGGATTGTGTGTTGTTGGCCCGGTACCCTCCAGGGAAGTGTTCAGGGCACACGGAGTATCAGCATTTTTGGAAGGAATTCCAGAAGAATCCCAGTGGCTGTGCAGCTGTATCCATCTTTTACACATTATTGTAAACCTGCGTGTCTTATCCTTTTAAAACTATTACTCATAGGAGAAACCATTTCAGTAGAAGTTTCCTGTCATTTTTACATCATAAGCACCAAAGGTGATAAACTCTAATTATTATCTGTGTTATTTTATCTCTGTCTTTGCTTTTTATTTCCAAATGAACATTAGTGCTTTGATATTTTTTGAAAATCAGACTATTTCCCTTTCTCTGTTTTACTATAGAGACATGAACCAGGTTCTCAACGCCTATGAAACTAAGCAGCCGTTTTATCTCTACACGGGCAGAGGCCCCTCTTCTGAAGCAATGCATGTGGGTCACCTCATCCCGTTCATCTTTACTAAGTAAGTATTGCAGCGTATAGCTTTTCTCACCTTCGTAGTAAATTGAGAATGTTACTTATAAACCATGTTTAGAGCTGACACGACAGTACTACTGATAGTTCATGTTTGCTGAGCAACCAAGATGTCAGGGAATCAGCACCTTTGTGGCTTCTGGCCATTTTGTTCCTGGGCTCACTTTAGAGGAATGGAAGTGGTGGCGAGAGCTCTGCTTTGGAGTCAGCCAGACCTGTTTCTCTTCTCATCCTGCTCCCTGTCCATGTGACCAAGGCCCGCTACTTCTCTGAGCCTGGGTTTCCATACCTGCAAGATCAAAGTGATAATATCCGCTGGGCGCAGTGGCTCACACTTGGAATCCTAGCATTCTGGGAGGCCAAGGCGAAAGGATCACTTGAGCTCAGGAGTTCGAGACCAACCTCAGCAGGAGCGAAACCCCATCT